ATAAAGATAAAACATTTCCAACATACAAATAAAACATTTGAAATATGCTCTTGAAATATGCGCGTATAGCCATAGCAACATATGCAACATCCAAATCTACTTTTACAACATAAGTCTGAAATATCTGAAGCACATGAAAACAAACACTTGAAACTTGTGTGTATCCATAGCAAACATATGCAACATTCAGATGAAAACACTTGAAACATGCATCTGAAACAACTGAAACACTTTGAACATAGGCTTGAAACATTTGTGTATTGTCATTGCAACATATAAAACATCCTAGATCTATTTTTGCAATATCCAGATGTAACACTTGAAACATAAGTTTGAAACGTCTGAAACACTTGAAAAGCAGTGACGTCGGCAATCACAACCTACCTGGTGGGGAACTCCGGTAACCAGTAAGCTCGGATCAAGGGTACGTCGAGAGCAACGGTCCAGCGTACACCCCAGACGCAGCGCGTAGGCCTCCCCTTTCTGTCGACGGGTGTGCTAGATGGGGGTGCAGGCTCAGGCATCCCCTGCCTCTCCTTCTGCGACGAGCGAGGTGGATGGGGGCATGGCGCGGGGCACAGAGCAGTGCGAGATGTGCCGAGCGCGGCGGCGGAGAGGAAGGTGAGCGGGAGGCGCGGTCGCGGAGTGCTGTCATGGACTCGAGGCGCTGTGGCGATATTTTTTTTAAAAAAAAATATGGTGCTAGAAGGGAAACACATATAAGAACATATAAGAAAACCTCGTCGGCAGGACGGATGTCTTGGACATAGCATTACCATTGATTTCCTGCACATGGAGGTTCAACTCCATGGCCTCACGCAGTCACGCCCTGTCATAGAGGTTCTAGTTCTAGGGCTCTGCTGGCGTTGGAGCTGTCAATACGTATTTGGCATGTATAATACTATACTATCACGGAACTGAGAACCTTGCAGACCTTACAAACATTCGCAAATTGAAATTAGTAAATTTGAATGGGAAGCCAATTAGCCTAACTAACTTATGGATGTATCACGGCAGCTGGTGGCTGGAAAAAATAAATAAATATATGAATAGATAGAGGGGTGAGCCTAACTAAATTAAAATCTATACAAAGCACAACACTTAGGCAAACCGTTAAGAGGCTGAAATAACCACTGCTTCTAACTATGATTTTTGCAAGAATGCAAGTCTAGGATGAGCAAATACACAATTCTAGATAGCAACATAAACAACTAAGCTAGATCACTAGAATTGGTAAACTAATGGGGTGTTTGGGACTGCTCCGCTCCACGTTTTTTAGTTCCACTCTATGTTTTTTAGCTAAACGGTTTCAGCTCCACGTACTCTGTTCGAGAAAAAATGGTGGAGTTGTGAGAGCACCTGAAGAGGTGCTCCACAAACTCCAGTTTTTGTAGAACTGCTCCATGGTGAAT